AGGATCTAAATAGTGAAATAAAAATTTCCTTAAAACTTCACAACCAAACCACCAGCTGAGCGCTCTTCAGTCACGTGATATCAGTGTATCCTAACGCCATTGAGTCTTTAGAATAAAATCAAATTTAGATTTCACTTGATATTAAATAAAGAAAAATCAGCCTATCTCTGTTATATTTACAAATAATGATATAGTGTTTAATCTAATTACCATAATGACACAGGGCAACTGGTAGGGTTTCTGGCATTCTGTGGCATTCCTTCACCCCCCCCCCCCCCCCCTCGATCTGTGTTCTTGTTCATACATTTACATTGTCACCCCCTATCCTTCATGATTAGCACATAAACTTAATAAACAAGGTTTTGTTGTTTCCTGTATACAGACAACATCGTGTAGAAGCAATCAGAATATCTAGTTAACATTTACGAGATAGCGCCAATCATGAATGACACAAAATCATTGAGAGCTGTAATTATTTTAACATCAATTTCTGAAATTTATTCTTCTCACAAGTGTTTCTTGTTAGGTTTTTACAGCCAGTGATGGCATTAATAAATCAAAATATTGCTACATCTTAAAGTCTTATTTTTTCCAGCATGTTCTTTGTTTACATATTTCCCATATTTCTTCCATATATAAAGAATATTGCATTATAAGCAAGGAGCGGAAGAATACGAAAACTGATGAACTGTTATAAAGATTAACACTTGACAAAAGAAAACTTATATTGTTGGGTATAGTTGAATGAGCAATTAAAGTATAAGTAAAGTATATTTGGTGCTGTGCATTTAATACTAACAGACCTTTTGCTATTAGCAGACCAGCAAGTGTCCATAATATAATCCAGTGCCAAGACATAACAAGGCTTCTTATACATAACACAGGAAAAGAAATTTAGAATTAGCGTAACTGTGCATAGATTTTTTTGAAAAATAAAATCAATTTTCCGATATTAAGAGAGGGACTTCATTAATAACCGATTAACAGAAAACCAAAAAATGACCCGAAGTATTAAATCAATCAGTTGTATTTTCTTGCGATGATAGAATTTTTTTTTATTCGGGAATATGTACTGATTTAAATCGACTTTAAATACTGAAATGATTGGTTTTCGAGGGTACTTTGTCGTTAAGCCTTATGGTGCATTATTGACATAAACACGGGCACTTTGAGATTTCGCCGTGCAATTTTGGTGTAAAAAAATCAGATATTTTGAGAGCTTTAAATATATAACTGAATAATAACACTTTGCAATCACAATACAGCAAACAATGTTTAAACTACTTCAGAAATTTCATTTGCAAAGTAACAATATAAACATGCAAAACAGACGAGGCCAGAATATGTAGCAGTCAAAATACTAATACTAAGACTGATTACGTATACATAATAGATCATTTTTGACATAAAATACATATTTTGTACATCTGGCAAAACCATATTTCATATTAATACCATGTTTAAAGTGCAATGTACTTAGGCATCAATAAAATCCAGGCTCTAGATTCTTAATACTTCTTCCTTTTCCTTCAATTTCAAGTGATGCATATTCTAAAAGGTAATGGAATTCGTCGCCTACACTATACTGACACAAATTACACTTTCTGCATTCTAGCGGTATCCTACTCCAATTTCAACGGGAAATGTACGGCTTCCGGTTCTAAATATAATCATATACATGTATTTCAAGAAATGTGTAGGTTTTCTACATGCTATTTTCAGTACCAAAATTTTGCTTTATAATGTGTACATGTTAATTAATAATATTAATAGTACTAATAAAGTCATAAATAATTAATTGATATTTTCTAGTGCTTGGATTTTTTTCTTGATGTGTCTACAGAAGCCGTAGCTGTGGCTACATTTTGTAGATTAACATTGATTAAGTTGGTCTGTGAACATTAACTTGTCACGCTGTCAAACATGAGAGTCAGGAAGACATAAATGCTTTTTATATGTCACTAACGTAATAACTATGATTATAACGAGAGAAGAGAAATGAAAAAAAAATGTTCGTTATGTTTCATGTTCAACACTAACCCTTAACCTACTGAATTTGCCAATCTTTGAATTTTAAAAAATACAAGCAAAGATTAAGGGAATTCCGTAGCAAAATACAAAATTTGGGCTTCCTTGTGCAGGCTGGCGTGACTCTATACAGATGGCAAAGGCTAACACTTTTGGTTTGGTTAAAGACTCATTATGCTCAAGTATGCTTTTACTTTTATCAAAAGCTTTTCATTTCTGGTGCCCCATAATAGTTTCGAAAAAAAGTACAAATTGGCCGATTCCCGTTATTTGATTGCTTCGGTTAATATCTAGTACAATCTAGTACAATTAAAATGATTTAGTATTTTGTATGGAAGTCAATATACTACTTTGTTTATATTATTTTTTTACAAAAACTTTCTTATCTGGTACTAAGCATCTAACATGCACTTAAACCGTTTTTTTACTGTTACGAAACTTTCGATTGCCCTCTCTAAAGAATGAAAATTTTATTCGTTTCTGAGGCATAATGTGCCTTTAATGAAATATGTGTATTTTAATGTAATCGTAATTGTATCACGAGCGTTAACCGATTTTCTCCTCAAATCTTCAGAACTACAAAAACATGATTAAATTTACGTGAAAAGCGATCGACTTTAAATTCCCTTTTTTCATTCTGATTCAAATTTACTCGTTTTTAAGTTTTCAAGACCATTAAATAAACGACAATCTAAAATAATTTTTTTCTGAACTGAGCACGAGACACATTAATAATCAAGAGTATGGCCGTTAGTGGAATTCATCCTCAATTACATATACGCGCTGGCATTATGTACCAATACTTAAATGCTGGCTTCAACAGACCCAGGTGACCATTTAGTGAAAAAAGGCGAATGTCAGACAGACCTGCTATTACCAGTTAGGGAAATGTTAAAATACTTTTTAAAGTGCAGTGCAGGAACATTTAAATGTAGGCCCTTTACTTGTTCAAAATGCAGGAAAATGAAAATAATGCGTTTTTATAGTGCGGGATGTAAATATACGGTTTTAAAGTGCAAACAATTCAGGAAAATGTAAAAGTATGTTTTCATAGTGTAGGAAAACGTTAAAGATTTTTTTCTTCATTATAATGTTTTTCTTTAAAGTACAGTAAATTTATGTTTTTGCTTTTTATTATTTAAAGGAATATAGTTGTAGGTATGTAGCTGGTTTTAGTGCCGTAGATATTAAAGTACTTTGTGAAGGGTATTTTGTTACAGTGCCGGTGACTTTACTGAGTTTTAAGTGCTCACAAGTTAGAGACAAAAAAGATGCAGCTATCGGATATAAAAATGCAATTGATAATTAAATTCCATCACTGTTAATACTTAACATCCATCAAGACTGTCGTATTATGTACTGTCTCAAGATATTTAATGGTTCTGAAATCAGATACGCAGGCGTTTTATCACGAGGATGCAAGAGAAAACAGTAACATTTAAACATCTGAACGACGACAGCGATTTTGCCTATTAGAATTCTAATATTCAATTAGTCTATGCCTCATCCTTTAAATGAATCAGACAGTTTTATCATTCGAAAATTGAACTTGTTATTTCTAGAGAAAGACTACTTATTGATTAGAGTAATCCTAGTTTGATACTAGACATCTTGGTTTACTCGTTTTGTTTGTGGAGTTTCCGCATACGGTATCATCAACAACAACAACAACAGCAGCAGCAGCAGCAGCAGCAGCAGCAATAACTTATGCATTCTTAAATGCTCGGTTAACACCGACATAATTTCTTTGGCAGCACCGCAGCTTCACCGAGGCTATTTTGCGAAGCTAATATAAATAATGAAGGAAAAACGTTGCCAAAAATAAATTTTAAATAGAGGTGAAAATCATCGCTTTTATGATCAAGTAATTCTAGGATAACAATTGTCCATTAAGGCAAAATACTTTTCAGATTCAGTATTTGATACTTACCGGAAGGAATCCTGACTGCTGACTAGAACTGAAATCTAAGAGGCTCATTTAGTCCCATATTACATAGAGACTTGAATATCTTTCAAATTCTAGGGTCTAGTTTTCAATTACCCCAACTCCATAGAAGCTACCTGATACTGCGATCTTAGTTAATTTTACTGGTTTTTTTTTAAAGAAAATGCTCAAAATACTCAAAATACTTTTAGTATATAGTACATGTAATATATCAAAACCAGACAAATTTTCTAAATCCTTATAATTATTAAAAGCCGACGTAACCACCAGCCAAATCTGTTATAATGATTCAACGTAGGAAATGGATCTATTTAATTGGAAAATTGTTCCATTTCTGCTGGAATAGCAATAGTCAGTTTTGGCAAGCTTCAAAATTTAAAATTTGACAATAACAACAAATTGTTATTCATTTGTTGCCAATCTTTTAAAATAAATGTTAAGAATAAATTGAAATATTTAATTCAATTCAAGAGAATATGCTTAAGATATTTGCTGAACTACACGTTAGCATTTTATCCAAAAGTGTCTTTCAACAGAAAGCCGTTTGTTTCAAACATCGACCAATCTTATACCTCTTGCGTCACTTGCTGGGAACATTATGATACAAATTTATTGGCCAAAGTTATAAATTGCGTTCTTTAAATGTAAATTTACCGTTTTTTTGCTAATGATTTGCACGTGCAAATCGTGAATACGCTCAAGTGAAAAAATAATTATACTATCGATAATCACACATTGTAGTTGAATAGACTTCTTTCTGAAATCTGCATCTAGAGAAGTGAGTTGGAAGTTTTGGTGGTATATAAAGGGGTGTGAGTGGCAGAGCGTAGGGCACTGCTCCTAGGGTAGTGACTAGTATAGTCTTGATAAAAGTGAGTGTTATGTGTGGTGAGCATTAATTTTATGTTTATGGTGCCGTGAATAGTATGAAGTGAGTATATTATCATCATTACAGGTGAGTTATATTATTAGTGAAGTGAGTCATGTTTTGAATAAAGTGTAATCCTGGTTCTGACTTTATTTTCAGTTGTATCTTCCGGAAGTCGGCTACGAATAACCGATGTAAACAATAACGTTATAGGAGACAATGCGCCATATAAACTACAACAACAGACGGAACCGGAAACTCCGAACGTGCCAAGCTATACACGTGGTGTACCAGACGAGCAACGCCTCATGGTACACCTGTTTAATGGCTATGAGAGAACTGTACGTCCTGTGCGCAACGCCAGCACTCCGGTTGTTATCAGGATGGGTCTGACTTTGACACAGATATTTGATATGGTCAGTTTATGTTAACTTTTTATTTCCTTTTTCTTTTCTTTTTTTCAGTATTTCTTATATACTGTACAGATGACCAAAAACGGGGAGCGGTGACCTAGTGGTTAAGGTGTCTTCCTCTCAACCCAGGGATCATGTGTTCGAGCCCTATTTGGTTCACGACAATGTTTCTTCATATGACACCATAACTGGTTGGTACCAAGAAAGGGACTCGCAATCAAGCTTAAAAAATACGTTTATACCAAACTTAAAATGAAATGAATGTACTATTCACGTGGAGTATTGTAGCTTTAAAATCTGTCAAGTTTATATTCTTGTCAGTAATTAACAGCACTAGTGCAGAGCGAGCGTTGAAGAATCCAAATTGTTTAATTACAATACTCCACTCTCTTATTTATGTATTTAAGATATAATCAAAAATGCACAATCTTTTCGTTAATTGACATTTCAAATTGACGCTAAGAAATGAATCGTTCTCATCATTTCTACTTCTGCAAGAATACGGAAGCCAAAGAATGCCACAACATTTTCTTTCTCGTAATTGTGAGATTATTCTGTTCTGAAGAAAAGTGTTACTTCTTTCCGTACTTAAATAATTTTGGTATAAGAACAATCGAAGTTCTTACATATAAGAACTAAACTTCAATGTTATAATAGCATCATCGGAAGAAGTATTGTTTTCTTACATTCAGTCAGATTATTTTCTTTTATTCCCTTCATCTAGAAACTGTTAGTCTACCAATGCACGCAGTAAAGAGATTAAGTATAGCCCAAGCCTCCACATCAAGTGTCTAGCACGTTGTCATTTGTATTCGATTCGCCTTTTCCATTTTTCTGAAGAATATAAACGCGTTCGGTAAAGGCGTCCTCAAAAGAAAAGACTATATAGATGGGATAAATGGAGGCTATCCCATGTGGATTTTACGAGAGTTCTTCAGATTTCCAATAATTAGTCAGTGACAAATCACCAGGAATTATAAATCCCCCAAGGAAATCTTATAGACATACTATATAGCATACTCAAACCAACTGAGGGCTTAATTACATTTTGTTATTAGCGTTTTACTCCTAACTATGTTTTGTGTTTATACTATTGTCACTGAATATTGTATTGTTAGGAACATGAAACCCCTTTATTGACAATAACACGTAAAAAAGTTCAATGTGATCGTTGATCATGTCTGCATGCATTTTATCTTTGTCATATCTCCCTCTTAAATCACGTGACCATGCTATAACAATATATAATATGAGTATATACGGACAACGCGGCGATAACACTTCATAGTTACCATTACGTAATAGATTTAATATAAAACGCAAAATATGAATAAATATCATCATAAATAAAATTTCTAGAAATATTTAGTGATATTAGATTGATATAGTATCGTTTCATGTGCACTAAGTAATATTTATGAACCATATTTTTTTTGGCTGCAAAGTTGCAACGATATTGAAAATATGATAACATTAGATGCAGATATGGCATTTTGCATTTTGTAATCAAATTAGAGTAGTGGTCGGATGGTTATGGTATTACAGAATTATACATATTGTATTAGCTATATGGTATGATAGAGGGATAGATGACTTAGTGCATTTTCCTTTATCATATTTACTGTGGTAGAGATGTTAATACTTCTTGTCACTTCTTGTCCATTTCGAAACTCGCCAGTGGTTTGAATAATGACATGGATGATTGACATTTGAAGATGTTATTTACATGTTGTCAAGGATACGCTGCGAGGTTACTTTTCCAAAACGGGCTTTGATGGTTAAACTTTGACGTTATGTGTACAAACAATGGCTGAAACTATTGGAATCGAATCTGAAATATGGTCAACTTGTTACATGCCAATTTTGAAGACGCTACTCGAAAGTTCGCAAAGTGTCGCGTTTAATAAAGAATTATTGTATCACAAATACTATCCTCATACTTCACTTGTAAAAATGACTCTGTGCAACAAATGATTTTATGAATTTTAGACAAATTGTTATATAGGGTCAAACGTGAGTTGTTGTTTCATGTGATAAACATTAATTAGTGAGCAGTTGTTTCATATAAATTTTATGATGTTAGCTTTTGTTTCATGTCAATTGCTATGTCATTAGCTTTTATTTCATGTAAATTGCTATGACGTGAGCATATGTTTCATATAATCTTTAGGACGTTAACTAGCTTTCGTTTCATGTAAATTGCTATAACTATAGCTTTTGTTTCATCTGAATTGCTATGACGTGAGCAGATGTTTCATATAACCTTTATGACACGAGTTATTGTTTCATGTAACCTTTCTGACGTGAACTGTTGTTTCATATAACTTTTATGACATGAGTGTTTGTTTCATATTTATTGCTTTTACGTGAGTATTTGTTTCACATAACCTTTATGACACGAGCTATTGTTTCATGTGACCTTCCTGGCGTGACGTGAATTGTTGTTTCTAGGACGTTAGCTGACATTTCACCTTTTATAACGTTAACTGTTGTTTCATATAAACCTTTATGAAGAGAGTACACGTAAATGTTCCTTAGTAAGTCAATGGTAAGTGTGATAACATATTTCTCTAAGTTTTATAAAAATGATTCTTGAATTACACGGCGAAATGAGGGCAATGTAGCGGATTTAGTTATTTTCTCCCTTGAATAGCCGCCTCACAAGCGTACACATAATTGTCATAAAATATAGTCCCAACATATAACAATAATTTCTTCTTCTTCATCTGAAACTGCTCCTTATAACACCGTCAATAGTGAAGTTTATGAGGAAATTAAGAAAGCGTTCATCAATTTCATTTGTTATAGAACGAGAATGATATAACGCATGCGCAGATATAACAGGAAGCTAATCTATTATCGATTTCTTGGAAAATGGCTCATGTTCCGTGGAGAACATTCAAGCTAAGTGACCAACAATCATGGTCTTCAACAAGCCCTGCTCACATAGAGATGGGAAACAACTGCCGAGAGGGTAAAAAAGTGATAAAGTTTGTTAAGTCTTACTCAAAACGTGTTAATTTAAACGTTGGAGTGTATATCTGGATAAAGTGCGAGTATCTGTAGTCGCCCCTATGCCCCTCTTTTTTAACTGTATAGATGTTTTTGTTGTTGTTATTTCTTCTTCTATTGGCGTCTAACTTATACGTGCATTTATGAGAGTTACTCAAGTTATGTGAAAGTTGACTCACGTCTTTGTAGAAAACTACTCACTTTCAAGTGGAGAGCTAATCACATTTAACTGGGAATATACTCAAGTTTTCTCGAGCACGACATGTTTATAAATGTTGAGAGCAGCACGCGCTTATGTGGAAGGACAGGAATCCATGTTTATGTGGAACGCTTCTCTAGTTTTGTGTGGAAAGCAACGCATGTTATTGTAAGAAGAATTTTAGAAAAGAGATACCAGTTTAAACAGTGTGGAGATAATGAAATGCCTTTATTTGGAATATTAATATGAAATATTTAAAAACTAATTTGGTGCTATCGGTATCAGTTTAATTTACATTCTTACTCGATATCATTAAAGCAGCATGCCTTAAGATTTTTGTTGATTTTCAGGAAAATTTTCAAAATGTATTTAAAGATAGAATATTAAGAAATGAACAAAGAAAGCAATATACACATTGCAAACGGTTCTTACAACCCATGTAAATTACCAAACCAAAGAAGTCAAAATATGCAAAAAATAGCACTTTCTGCGTAAGACAGACAGTGGCATTCATCGCACATGTAAATTATCACTTGAATTTGGAATAATTTTAACTTTTCTTCAAATCTTAGTTCATTTTTCTCCTTCAAATATTTCGGCTCATTTGGAGATAAAAAATGTATATGTAGCTTTAACACAGTCATGTTCAACCAGAGCATCGAACAAAATAAACAATACTTTTTGTCGTTGTTGTTCGAATTATTTTGCTGATAAAAGACTTTAATTACCGACAAACAGCAATTCAAAGGCTGATATTGGACATTAATTTTGAATTAAAAAGATAAAAAGCTCATCTCTTTTCTATTATTAACCGTATATCTATACTTTCAAATACATACGTGATTTTCATGCATATACATACATGTATATAAGCAGTATAAATAGATGTTATGACCACCTTTATTGTCATTATTGTTTTTATCACAAGTAGTTTTGTCAGAATACGACAGCCTAAAGATTGGGTATAGACCATGATATGCTGCTTTAAAGACCCCTCTAGAAAAATAATCCTCATTTTCGCTAAATACTCACGCATACGACATATTGACTTGCTACGTTGCAAGTATATCGCTATAACGGCGCACTGTAGCCAATTCAATTAAATAAAGATTATTTATTCTAGCAATGTGGCATGTAAATGAAACATTCAAATATTCTGGCAGAAATTTATCATATTAATCAAGTTGGCTTTTCGAGGGCAGACAATTTCTTATCTTCTCTTAGGCACATTATGAATTAAATTTTTTAGAACATGTGAATAGAAAAGCTGTTCAGACATAGCATCGGATTCAAAATATAAAAACCTTATAAGGGGATTGACGGACTAATAGTTATAGTGTACGCCTCTTGACCTATGAATCAGGGGTTTGAGACCCAACTTTGGCAGCAGATCCAAGGAGCGCTCACTGAGTACTTGACACGAATTAAGAATTACTCACTCGGCACTAGTTACAACATTACGATAATTTCATAGTGCACTACTGTCATATGACCATGATATGAAAATTTATCTTTAAACCCATAGCACATTATTAAACATTAATTATATACCACTCACACCCCAGGAATAAAACTCACGTTGACCACTCTCACCGAGTACTTCTCAAAAATATTAATATAAATATTATTCACCGAGTACCTCTCACAATATGAATAAAAATATTATTTACCGAGTACTTCTTAAATCACGAATATAAATATTACTCACCGAGTACTTCTTAAATCACGAATTTAAATATTATTCAATGAGTACTTCTCACATTATGAATAAAAATATTATTCACCGAGTACTTCTTAAACCATGAATGTAAATATTACTCACCGAGTACTTCTTAAACCATGAATATAAATATTACTCACCGAGTACTTCTTAAACCATGAATATAAATGGTATTCACCGAGAACTTCTTACATCATGAATATAAATATTATTCACCGAGTAATTCTTACATCATGAATATAAATTTATTCACCGAGTACTTCTTAAACCATGAATATAAATATTACTCACCGAGTACTTCTTAAACCATGACTATAAATATTATTCACCGAGAACTTCTTACATCATGAATATAAATATTATTCACCGAGTATATATGAATATTATTCTTCTTAAACCATGAATATAAATATTACTCACCGAGTACTTCTTAAACCATGAATATAAATATTATTCACCGAGAACTTCTTACATCATGAATAAAAATATTACTCACCGAGTACTTCTCACAATATAAATATAAATATTATTCACCTAGTACTTCTTAAACCATGAATATAAACATTATTCACCGAGAACTCCTGTCATCATGAATATAAATATTACTCACCGAGTACTTCTCACATCTTGAATATAAATATTATTCACCGAGTACTTCATACAATATGAATATAAATATTATTCACCGAGTATATCTGACATCATGAATAGATGCTGCTGTCATTCCATTTATTCAAAATGTTAAGTATGTTACTCTTTTTCTTTCAGGATGAAAAGAATCAAATTTTAGTCACAAATGTTTGGTTGGACCAGGTATGTTACTTTCGTTATATAAACGTTCATTATATTCCTAACTTTACCAAAACAGATGTGTGAACGAGCGCACTCAGCACACATTATCATTTTTATTATAATCATCATTTTATCATCATCATTGTTATTATTATCATCATCATTATTTTATACATTATTTTTATTACATTTTATCATTATCATCATCTCTAGCCTTGTTTTCAACAACATTTTATGTTTCTGATTAACCCAACACACTATCTGTTGAATTTTCTTAATGGGCTTTTCGATTAGCACATTTTAAATTTAGGACTATTAGTTTAACCTACACACTTTTGACATCATTCATTCTTGAAACATGTCAACAGAGCATCCATATCATTCTATTTCTTAACAGTCAATTTTCTTTGATAACAATTCTACTAAAACAGCTAAGACTTCTATTGTAACACCTTTTGAATGCCCATTTTCAATTATTACATTTCTGAAGAGCATTATTTCTTTTATCTCATTTCTATAATCACAACATTTAACAGCACATTTTCTATTGTCAAATTTAACAGCACATTTTCTGTTGTCATATTTAACAGCACATTTTCTGTATTTTTTCATTTCTTAACAGCACAATTATTATTTATTTTCTAGAAACACACTCATTTCTTGACAGTACATATTGTATTCAATTCTTTCATTAAATCCTTTTTTTTTCAACTTTTCAATATGGTATTCAAATACATTTTTATCAAAATAAATACAAGACTTTAGAGGGAACTATTTTTTGTTGTAATTTAGTTTCAATGTCGGGTTAATAAAAGAATATACGGTTTATTAAAGGAGTGGGATGATGAATTTCTTGTCTGGAATCCGACTGACTTTGCCAACATATCTACATTGAGGATACCTTGTAACAAGCTCTGGTTGCCGGATATTGTCTTGTACAATAAGTAAGACATTTTATATATTATTACACTACCTCGCTTGTTATTTCCTTGTCAACTTTACTTTTGCTTCTCCTTTGCCGTAAATTGCAGCAGAATTTCGCGGAACAAACCAAAACAGTTGAACGTCTTGATGTCTATAAATAGAATGTCATTTCGCATAAACCTCTGGTTAGCATTAATGAAAAGTCTGCCGTGAAATACAATTATTCAGTTATACTGCAGTAAAAGCATCATTTCTTTATAGAAATACTTGTCAAACACACGCAAAGTGTATAATGGAGTCTTTTTGCAAACACTGTCTTGGGATTTTACTCCGCGCGACATATGTTTTCCTGGAACAATAACGTGTAAACATGAAATTTCGATGTTACTTCCAAAAATACTATAGTTGTGAACATTAAATCAAATTATTTCAAAGAAATATGTTTTGTGGATAAAAATGTCGTTTTAAAATTACTCAAGACATTATATATTGTAGAGTACATCATGCCATTTTAACGGCAGCCTTAGGTTTTGAATTTCAATTTTCAAAATGTCAGTAAAATTTACTTCCTCAAAAATACACATGTGATCTAGACTTAAATTTAGGTTGTATTTTAGCAATAATATCCACGTAAAATGCTTTTAGGTATTAAGGAAGAAATAACGTATTAAATGTCCTGAATAATTTGTATAAAACAATATTAATATTATTGTTTTAGGCAAACATTTTGAATTATTTCATCAATTTGCTGGAAGCGAATTTCACGTTTTGTGCATTTACTACAATAGTCAGATGCTAAAATGTATTTCTCTAAAATAATTGGCAAAGAGTTCAATGTTTAGATAAGGAACAACTTATAATTTGCAAAGATGGCAGCCTCGTTTTAAGTATTTTAAAAAAGTTAAAATAAACTTCTGGGAGGCAACATGTGCGACAAAAATGTAACACATATATATGTACTCCTTTATTTAAGTACACCTCTTATATTAATCCCCTTTCACCAAATTTCTGCCCGAAAATAGAAATCCTTGTCCATTCCCAGACGCAATCTTGGTAAGTCTTATTTCCGGCTATTTTTTGGCGCAATAGTAAAATTTCTGCTTTAAGGGGAAACTGAAATTCCAAAAGCTATCCGTTGCACAAGAATGGGACATATAGAAGAACCGTTATTACAAATGACTGCACAGTGCTATAATACAAAATATGCTTTTCATACAAAAAAGTTTTGTAAAAAGAGCGTTTAAAATTCAGTGCATATAATTTATTGTTAGAGGGTGTTTCTGCTAACACATTAAAGGTATAACTATGAATATGTCCTTACAAATGAAATGCTATCCGCATTATAGTAGATGAATATTCTAGAACATTTATGTTTGCAGTGCAGCAGAGTATACCGACGGTCTTATGCCAGCTAACGCCATGGTTCGTTACGATGGTAACGTATTCTGGCCAATACCAACAAAACTTCAAAGTTCATGTAAAGTAGATGTCACATATTTCCCATTTGATATGCAAACGTGTAAAATGAAGTTTGGGTCATGGACATACGATGGATTTCAGGTAGTTATATACATTTGTATATTAATTAATTTGAAGGTCAACACTTTCATAAAAAGCATGTCCTAACTATGGCGGAAAGAACCGAAAATACTCGATTGAGAGAGAGAATATTTGTCTGCGTCTTTTTTTATGCTCCCCGAAAAATTTCGGGGGAGCATATAGTCGGCGCCTTGTCCGTCTGTCCGTCCGTCCGTCTGTCCGTCCGTTGTCTTGTCCGGAGCATAACTTGAAAACCCTTGGAGATAATTTGTTGAAACTTCATACAGTGGTAGAGGGCATCGAGGGGGAGTGCAGTGTCAAAGAACCATAACTCAATTTTGCCCGGTTTTTGAATTATCTCCCCTTATAGAAAAATCTTGTCCGGGGCATAACTCTAAAACTATAAGAGATATCAACATGAAACTTTGTAGGTGAATAGATCTCAATAGGTAGATGTGCAGTGCATAAGAACAATAACTCTTTTCATCCTAATTTTGGAGTTATTGCCCTTTGTTAATTTTAATACTTTGAACTTGAACTTTGTCCGGAACATAACTTGAAAACCCTTGGAGATAATTTGTTTAAACTTCATACAGTGGTAGAGGGCTTGGAGGGGGAGTGCAGTGTTAAAGAACCATAACTCTATTTTGCCTGGTTTTTGAATTATCTCCCCTTATAGAAAAATCTTGTCCGGGGCATAACTCTAAAACTATAAGAGATATCAACATGAAACATTGTAGGTAGATAGATCTCATTGAGTAGAGGTGCAGTGCAAAAGAACCATAACTCTGTTAAGCCTTATTTTTGAATAATCTCCCCTTTTAGAAAAATCTTGTCCAGGACATAGCTGTAAAACTATAAAAGATATCAACATGAAACTTTGTAGGTAGATAAATCTCAATGGGTAGATGTGCAGTGCACAATAATCATAACTCTACCTTGCCTAATTCTGGAGTTATTGCCCTTTGTTTATTTTTACTTTTTGAATTGTCCAGGACATAACTCGGAAATCATAAGAGATATCATCAAGAAACTTTGTAGGTTGATAGATCACATTGATTAGAAGTGCAGTGCAAAGAACTGTAACTCTGCCTTGCCTAATTTTGGAATTATTGCACTTTGAACTTTTTCCACGGACATAACTCTGAAACTACAAGAGGTGTACTTTCCTGTGTCCAAAACCTATTCGGGGAGCATCACCCGGCTCAAACCGGGCTCTTGTTTATATTTGCAATCTCTTATAGTTAATAAATAAATTAAGATTCATCTTCAGTTTGAAAAACAAATTACATCTGCGTATTGATCCCATCTGCTTAATTAAGCTTTGGAAATAACTGTTAAAACGATAATAAAAGTTTTAAAAATGATTATTTTGCAGTTTTATAATTTGGAAAAAAAAATTTATTTGTTAATATTTCTAATATTCTACTCTTCTTATTTGATGTTCGTGGAAGACTTTTTGCCATCGACTTTCATTTTAATTTTTTTCTGTGCGGAAATTTATAAACAACTAAATAAAAAACAAAGTGACATGCATTATCCGATAGGGAAAATATTTGTAAAAAATATTTCTTAAAAAATGTGTGTAAGAAAACCGCCAAACCGCTATGCAATTCATAAACAATTTATCCTAATTATTTAATTCATTTAATAATCATTTGTATATGTCTGATATAATTCAACTTATCAAATAAGCTATCAAAGGGTTTATCCAAACAAACGCTGTTTTGTTGTTGTTGTTGTTGTTGTTTTGTTGTTGTTGTTTGATTTATTTTTCTTCATTTCTAAGAAATATTGACAGAAATGCGTAATTCAAACATGATTATCAAATACATAGAAAAAACCTCCTGCCCGTTTTACTCATTCATGAATAAATAAGTTGATTGATTGATTAATTGATTAATTAATTAATTAATTAATTAATCATACATTCATTTTGTTCTCATTTTTTATTGATTGATCGATCGATCGATCGATTGATTGATTGATTGATTGATTGATCTATTCGTTCAACTAACAAACTAAACGATTCAGTCCGTCTTTAAAGATTAAAGCACGCAAACAATATCAGGTTTCACGTGTTGCAATAAAAAAGCAGCACGAGTTGGTTTAGATTTCCAAAAATATGAACGTCTATGTCAATAAAATCAGAAAATAAACTTCTCAAAGAAATGATATTGATTTGTTTGTGCAAATATTATTTGGCTCTTGTGTTTTTCTAGCAACAATAACCTGACACCATATAACACCACGTAATGAATCATAATACAAGAGAAATTAAATATCTTTTCTGAAACTCTGATCCTCGAAAACTAGGCCCAGTCAAGCTTTATTAACTAAATTCTGATAATTGAATGTGGAGATTTCCTTGTGAACAAGATAAAAGGAATGTCTATATTTTGACAACTTTTAGAATAAAGTCAATATATAATAAAATATTCCGCATGAAAGAAACGTGACACCAGTCTTTATTATTTGCTTGGTTTGATATTTTATACTACTGGTACATTGTATAGGGCAATTTTGATATATGTTTGCTTTGATATATGAGCCGCGTCATGACAAAACCAACATAATGGGTTTGCGACCAGCATGGATCAAGACCAGCCTGCGCATCCGCGCAGTCTGATCAGGATCCATGCTGTTCGCTATCAGTTTATTTACTAGAGTTGGTAAGCGAACAGCATGGATCCTGATCAGACTGCGCGGATGCGCAGGCTGGTCTGGATCCACGCTGGTCGCAAACCCATTATGTTGGTTTTGTCGTGACGCGGCTCATATATGTAGAACTGGGTAATTTTAATATTTTGTTTGTTCCATAAAGTGTTTTTCATTCGATATTTTCATTTTGCTTGTTCGGTTCATTTAAATGGGCAATTTCAATATTTTGTTTGGTAAATACATTATAATGGGAAATTTCAATATTTTGCTTTTCAATACATTGTAACGGGCAATTTCAATATTTGTTATTTTAATACATTGTGACAAGTAATTTCAATAGTTTCTTTCATTTGATATTTTCAATTTGCTCTTTCGATACATTGTAATAGGCAGTTTCAATATTTTCATTGTTCGATAATTTCATTTTGTTTGTTCAGTACATTTTCATGGGCACTTTTAATATTTTCATTGTTCGATAATTTCATTTTGTTTGTTCAGTACATTTTCATGGGCACTTTTAATATTTTCATTGTTCGATAATTTCATTTTGTTTGTTCAGTACATTTTCATTGGCACTTTTAATATTTTCATTGTTGGATAATTTCATTTTGTTTGTTCAGTACATTTTCATGGGCACTTTTAATATTTTCATTGTTCGATAATTTCATTTTGTTTGTTCAGTACATTTTGTTCAGTACATTTTCATTGGCACTTTCAATATTTTCAATGTTCGATAAATTCATTTTATTTGTTCAATACATTATAATGGGCAATTTCAATATTGGTCGTTCAAGCAAAATTTATTCGATAGTTTCATCTTGCTTTTTCGATTCATTGTAACGGGCAATTTCAATATTTTCAGTGTTGATAATTTCATTGTGTTTGTTCGTTACATTGTAATGGGCAATTTTCAATATTCTTTATTGTGATGCTTTATAATGGAAATTTTCTTTTACAATTAGATAATACGATGACCATTTGTCATAATATTTCAGTTCGATATTTTGAAATAGGCAATGGCATAATAATTTTGTTCGATTCATTGTACTTGGCATTGTCATAACTTGTTTAGTGTTTTGAATAGAAATTTGAATTACGGTTTTTATCAATCTAAATAAAGTTCAGATCTACCTATTTCTTCCATGCAGTGGCGTTATTTAGGGGCTGATATTAACCAGATTGGGTCTTTATTAAAATTATAAGTAAAATAAATATTAGCCTACATATAATTATCTTATTCAGAGTTATATTTTAATGATATCAGATTATTTAAAGTTGTGTTACGTACATGTATCTTTGTACTGGTTAAAACTTTAATTAAATTCATGTTACAGGTCGATATAACAAACCGAACAGAAGAAGTTGACCTCAGTAATTACGTCAACAATGGAGAATGGGAACTGATTAGCATCAAACCAGTTAGAAACGTCGTTACGTATGCTTGCTGTAACGAACCGTTTCCTGACGTCACATTCACCATTCATATACGTCGACGTACGCTGTACTACATGTACAACGTCATTTTTCCATGTATAATGATGTCCGCTTTGACGTTACTTGTATTTTGTTTACCACCGGACTCGGGAGAAAAGATTGCTCTTGGTAAGTTAATAAGTATTTTCCACATCACTGTCCCTATAAAACTATTGGAGATTCAGAGCTACTCATTTTGATTTCAAGGGTTTTCAAAAAAGGAAAAGAAAGAAAGAAAAGCAGCCCGTCTGCTTGAAATAACAAGTTCCATGTAGCGAAATATCCTGATTATAAACCGTTGTGTATTCGAATCTAATCAGGACTTCCGATTCTATCATGTTTAAATGTGAAAGAAGCTATCCACTACCTGGCGGAAGGTCCGTGATTCTACTTGGGTCCCCACATTTCTGCACGAAGATGCAACAATGATCTGCGTCTACCAGTAAAGCTGAAAAATCGTCACCAACAAAACTCTATGGCACCAATGTTATGGAGTTCCAGAGAGCGAATACAAGAGTCTGGGAAAGAATTAGTAAAAAAAATGTTTTCCCTCATATTGACCTAGAATGAACATGATGAACTGAACTGGCTGACATTCTTTTGAATAATTCGTAGCATAGTGTCTATTGGGAGCATCCACAGAAATCGACATCTTTTGATGTGTAATTGACTATTGACACATTATCATAGTGGTTATTTATTGACCATCTTACATGTACTGTTTTTTGTTATTGTTTTCATCAAAATATTGGACATAGAGGATATTGAATGAGTGTAAGTTCAATACTGAATTTATTGCACGAGTTGAATAAAATTATATTATGCGAGCCTCTGGCGAGCATAATATTTTTTTATTCAACGAGTGCAATAAATTCAGTAATGAACTTACACGAATTTAATATTCTATTTATCACATACCCAATATAAAGACCGTTTAAAGTGAAATAAGAGTCATTTTTATTGACGCGCCTTTAGTATAACACTAACATTTAGCGCGTCTTTACACTATGTTTGTATAACGCTAATGACGTCACGTCAAAATATATGCACGGCCGTGCAATACCATATTTACGGAGTCGCAAAATCGGCACGGGTGTGTGATAAACATATTTCTCACTTACCTTTCGTTATTTAGTATGAACTTTGGTGACATCGGCTGATTGAGTTGAACTTTTGACTTTAATAACTACATTTACTGAGTACTAACCTTTTTCAAGCTGAGATAATTGCCGTCTGTTACAATGTCGTCTGCTTTATATTTGAATTTTATCCACATTTTCTCAAAAACAACAAAACAATAAAGGTTGAGCATCGAGTTCAAACATCTTGGTGCCTGACTAGCAGGTAAAGTACTCTAGTTCTTATTGCAAAAGGCTATTTGTGGTCAACAGGGTAAAGGCCAAAACATTATTTTCGTACGATTTTGTGACCATGCATGTACATGTATCTTCAATTCATTCTACATATTTTAGTGCTTGTATTGTTTGATCTTTTCACAAAACTGTACATTATATTTCAGGTATAACTGTGCTTTTGGCTTTTTCGGTGTTTATGTTGGCTGTGGCAGAAAATTTACCAGAAACGTCAGAATTCGTCCCGCTTATAAGTATGAATAGAACTTTGGTTATATTTATAGTTGTGTATATTAATATACTTGTCTCATTTATACTTGTCTCATTTATTTTGATGAATTTCAAGTCGATACGTCACATTTTAACGTTTCAGTCTGCTCTAATGGAGGAGGAAGACCACATGTACCCCTCTTTTATATCAGGCACCAGAGTGGTTACCAGTGTTTCTCGTTACAAAGACAACTTTAAATGTCTTTATTCTAGACAGGTTAATTTTGTCGGTTAAAGAAAATTGTAATATTTTATTCTCCAGTTGTTTCTATAGTCTCTATATTCTCTATAGTTGTTTATCATCATTTATTCCACACGGTCAACTCCTTCAGAAACTGACTTATCATTATAATATGTTTGGAGAATGTATTAAGCGAGACTGCAATTCTCTGTTTTACAAATAGTTACTGCATCTTTTTACATACAAGAGTAAACAAGTGAATGAACGATTTTCAGAGAAAACACACACACACAAAAACAACAACAACAAAAAACCAAACAAAACAGAAACTAGAAATAATATGAGTAATTTCAGTTGGAGTAGATTAGTTTGGTCAATAAATCAAAGACCGGAGACTTTCGCCCAATAACTTTGGACAACATTTGCATACAGCTGCTAAACAATATTAGATTATTGCATTTGGTCAGCAGAGAAAAGTTTTCTCTTTTTACTTTATTAATAAAGTGTAAGCGATTGTCTTGAAAATGACCATTTCTTCAATGTACTTTAACCATACAAGGCATTATTGTCCAACAGCTGTAGAACTTAATGTATGCCAATGTCTGGGAGGTGTAAGGCCTTATTTAATGCAAAAGTGAAATAGTCAAGTCAACAGTCAGGTCAGGTCAACAATCTTAAGTAAATATTGAAAAACTGGAAATTAGGAAATATTCGTCTTTCTTAACCAATTGCCGTGGTGTGTAGAACAAAAGGTCAAAGTTAAGATAACGCTAGCAGAACGTACACGACGTGAGCTTCGATATGGTTTGTAACACCGCACTTTGGGGTCAAACGCACTTTGGGGTCCGACCCCAAAGTGCGTTAAACTTCGCACCGCACTTTGGGGTCAAACGCACTTTGGGGTCAAAATCGAGAAATTGACCCCAAAGTGCGTTAATATGTTACATATCAACGCACTTTGGGTTCAAGATGTCTAAAGGTGTCATCTGAGTTCTGTTTAAATACGGAGTTCTGACTTATTTTCTATCTGCGACATTGAAATAAGATGGCGGTCAATACTTTATGATGCTTAAGTGATAAAAGTTTTATTAATTTTACCACTTAAAATATCTAAAAATTTTGTTCATATAACAAAATTACGGTGGCATAAAAGTGACATTTGCATTTTTTTTGTTTTCAGTTTTGTATACATATTTTATTTTAGTTTTGCATACATATTTTTTCAGTTTTGCATTCATATTTTTTTAGTTTTGCATTCATATTTTATTTTTGTTTTCCGTACATATTTTTTTTTGTTTTTCATACATATTTTAGCCAATCAAACAGTCTTTAAATCTCATAACAGCCCATAGTTGAGTATAAAACTAGCACAGTGGTTTGATCACATTTCGGCCCATTTTTTGGAATCGGCCCAGTCGTTTTCGGCCGGGCAAGTCTGGTTTCGGCATATGCATTTTATATAATTATTGTTTTTTTATTATTATATACTATAATACTAGTGTTTATTTGGAAAGGATTGTTGATTGGTGATCAGTTATTATTCCATGAATATGCACCACTCAACCCCACCCCCTGAGAATGAGAATTGAGAATTATGAAACTTAGGTCAATTCTTTAGCACATCCAGATAATGTGCAGAACTTATATGCCAGGTGTGCCGGCTCAAGGTCGGGGTCACACCTACAGGTCAAAGGATAAAGACTTGGGTTTCATGTCCGCTCCTTATCTCCGAAACCCCATGAAGGATTTTAAGGCACCTTGTGACAAATGTAAACCACATCGAGACCATATGCAGAACCTTTCTTTGGGTTACCGCGGACTATATATTTATATATATATTTAAAAAGTGTTGTTATTTTTTTGATACCTCCAAAAATGAAAATGTTGGTATTTGCAAATGGCATTTGCAAATGGGGTACTGTAATTTACAGATGGCGAAGTGTTTGAAAATGGTGTTTTACAAATGGTGTAATTATCCAAACCTCTACTTTGCAATTGGCGTCATGTAAAAATATGTACGAAAAGACAAAAAAAGAATATGTATGCAAAACTAAAAAAAAGTATGTATTCAAAACTAAAAAAAAATGTTCTGTCGGTCATTTACTTGATAACTTTTGGTGCCATATTGAGCCCCATTTTAAATATGTTGGGAATGAAATAAAATGCAGTTAATATTTTTTTCCAAAGAACTATAAATATAGTCTATTGCAATGTTCTGGTGAAACATCAAGTTTTTCGATCGGACTATAAATAGTAATTTTTACAAATACATTATTAAGCTTAACAACAAGCTTAAGGGTTTTTGTAAGCTCCGTAACAACCGTTCGCCAGAGGCTTTTTTATGAGAAATCTTAAATACTTCTTTATAAAGAGCAAACATGAATTTTATAATGTTAAAATAATGGTATCTGAGAAATGTAAGATGCTTGTTACCTGAATAAAGTAGCGATAGATGTGAAATTTTTTGTCATAAAAGAAGTCAAAACACTTTGACTTCCATATAAAATACTAATTCTCTATAACTGTACTCATCATTGCCAAAAAGCAACAGATGAAATTGGCCAATGTGTAATTTCTGGATAATATAGAAGAACATCAAAATGAAAAAGCTTTTAAGAAAAACAAATAAAAGCATTATGGGCCTTTAAAACGTTATTTTAACCCTCAGGGGGATCGATACCCCACAATCCCATCTATACCCCCAGTGAGAATTTTACATTATTCTGAAGCTCCACTCTTAAAGTGCGACTACTTAAATAGTTGATATTTTAGTACTACCTGTACGGACTACTACTTAAAGCCGCATCTACACCTAGTCAAGTTTTGTTATATGTCACACATAGCTAAATAAATGGCTCTTTCAACATATTATCAGGCAAATTTTTACTGAAATGTCTTACTAAGATTTCCCAGAATTTATACCTTTGTCTATGCTAAGACTATCATATTTCTATAAAATGTGTAAATAAAAAACGGGAAAATAATGCATTTAGCTAAAAACAATGGAGTTAATGAAAGTTGTACATTCTTTTAAAATAAATGGAAAAATTGAGAAAAATATTTTAAGCTTAATAATTGATACAAATTCTTTATTTGATGATTTATTTGGTGAAAGTTCTTCACTAACTAATCAAGACCATTTAAATCCCTATTGATTCTACTATAATTCAGGGCACATGTTTGTGTCTATTTAATACCTTGATTTTTTGTTTACCATTGGCTTTGACTACAATATATTATTTAAAACATAATGAACATTAATTTTCTATGACCCCAAAGTGCGGTCGTTTGCCTGATGTTAAAAAATGCATATGTACCTGTTTAACGCACTTTGGGGTCGAAATTGGACCCCAAAGTGCGTAACGCACTCTGGGGTCGAACCCCAAAGTACGTAACGCACTTTGGGGTCGGACCCCAAAGTGCGTTTGACCACAAAGTGCGGTGTTACAATGGTTAAAACATATTAAGTAAATAATTTTTGATAAGGGACAGGCGGAGCGAGTTAAAACGAGCGAGAGTGTCCTTTATCAATAAAAAGTTACTTAATATGTTCTATGTATATTCAAATATAAGTACATAAAATAGTTTCAGTTTTCGCTGCATCTACCAGCGTCCTACAACATATCAATAGTTTTGTTTTTATTTCAGGTATTTATTTGACAATCGTAATGGCACTGACGTCAATGTCCGTTATCATGACAGTGTTCGTGTTAAATCTTCATCATAGAGGTCCAAACAAACATACAGTACCGAACTGGCTCAAAATTATCTTACTCCAAAAAATGTCCCCATATTTATGTCTACAGGAAGGTAACAGCGATATATCGCGGTTTATTAAAACCGAAGAAAGCTTCATAAAGAATATGTCTTTAAAGATAACTTTAGATAATATCCAGCAAGCTTTGCAAAATGAGATTACCCTCGAAAATGCAGAGCAATCACAAAATAATATATATAGTTCACTGTGTAACATATCTGTTCAGCCGGATATGTCTGCTCAATCAAATAGTTCACCAGTAATTGAACAGCAGACGACTTTCAACCCCGCCAACTATGTGCTTAATCACGCAAAGAACGCTTCTGGTGAACATTCCCAAAGACAGCCATGTAATTTTAGTTACGACACATTGAAACATGAACTCAAAACTCAGTCCAGTGTCAGATCACCAACGCAGTTGGCAGACGAAATGTCACGTGACCCAACGAAACAACAAACATCATCGCAGAATCGAAATGACAACAATCGGAGAAATAAACGCCGATCCAATACCAATTTAAGCAAAACAAATGAGGAGATTTTAAACTCTTTAAAAAGAATTCTCGAGAAGCATGAGAAAGAAGATAGAGACTATGAAGTTATACAAGAATGGCGTAGGGTGGCCCAATGTGTTGACAGAATCTTATTTTTTATCTTTCTAGTAGCCACTGTGTCATCAACATTAGCAATCCTCGTAATAGCACCGGCCACACAGTAACAGTTATAACCAATGGTCAGCCGGTGAGATTACTGGTCTGATGAAGCTCAAATTACGCAATATTATGCCAAAAGTGTTACGCAGAGGTATGCTTTCATTGTATATCGAAGGAGGAAACAGGTTACATAATTGAAAACAATGAGTAATAATAACTTTGATGGAATAAACATATATGATATTGAAGGTAAACAGTGACGTTACATGCAGAACGGAGATGAATGAGGAAAAAAAGTGGATACATTTGTATGTACAATAAGTTTGGCAATATATATATAAATGTATGTATAGTTTGATACATGCTAGCATGGGAAGCTTTAAATGAATCTGCAAAAGAAGGACTTAAACATATTTAATGAATAAGGAAGGCTTTCTCGCCTATCTTTTTGTTTGAAATACTGATAGTCTATCGGATAATATTCATATCGACGTTTTGTATAGACACACCCCTATTTTGTGGTGGAGCAGCATTTATCAGTTTGTAAATTTTTCTTAAAAGAATGCTCATTTAAGGTATTTGTAATGTCCGTATGAATAATAACTACAAAACAATAAGCAAACAGGATTTAAATGTTCAGAAAGTTATTGCATTAGAATAAAATAACTAAAATAACACTGAAGCAACAATGTCTCCTTGTTGGATACCAGTCGACGAGTTTTTTTGTAATGCCATAGAACATAACACGCTTTTTTGTCAGTTATGTCGACATGAATATTGTAGAATAAGAAAATAAAAAATTGAATTTGGTTTGTTATTTTTTTCAAAAATCATC